AACAGTACCATGTTGGGAAAGTCCATGATCATATCTATGTTAGAATCTACCTATCAGCTTGGTCATGGAACAGGTGTGTTAAAATCCTGGGAAAGATAAATATAATTTTAATTCAAAAAGAGAAACTTTGTATATTCTAGATTCATTACAGGGTGTGAAATATATCACGCCTCTTTGTTTTGATATGAAAGTTCACTTTTTGAAAAACATTACCTTCATGATATTAAATTATTTTAAGCAGCACCTGTCTATTGAAAAGGCAGAGTTGAAAAGGTTGCTTAAATCCACTCAGACCGGAGTGAATCGTGCCTCAGTGTCGATGTCGTGCTCCTGCAAAAGGGAAGTTAACTTTTAGACAAGTCCTTCAAGACGGAAATAAAGTTGCTTGGAGAAGATGAAAAGGTTCTCTCACCTGATTGAGTTTCTTGAACTCTACGACCTGAAAGAAAATGTGTTCCAAGATGTGCTTGGCGTCCCTCTGCTCTTTATCCAACTTAGGCGTCACACCCAGAATTTCACCACATTTACGCACATAGAACTCAAGATCGTCGTCCGTACCTGTGACCAGAACCAGTTTGATTAGAACAGATTATGTTACTGTGGCCCTGTTCACACCTGGTATTAACATCTGTCCTGAGATACTGATTAGAAGTGGACAGCATTAAGTTCAGTTTGTTCACACCTGACATCAAAATGCATCCTGAGTATGTGTCTCATTGCCACTTGTGATTGGATCTCACTTTCCTGCTCTAGACGCCAATGATTTTACATAATGTGTTCGAAGACCAAATTATGTTTTTACCGTCTTACTGTATAGATGTGCCCGATGACTGCATTTGTGTCGCATGAGAGCGGAGTCGGGACTTAGGAGGGGCTAAATGAATGAATGCGCAGTCTGAAGAAAGATTTTACCCATTAAAATAAAATCATGTGGTTAATAAAAATGTGACCACAAACAAATCAACATGTGGTCACCAAGAAGAGTAAAAACACATCTGGATAGTAGACATCCCTCATGTGGCCTAACATTCATGGACACACTTGGGTATGTTTGTGCCTGCACTTAGTGCTGACCACTTGTGAACAGGGTGTAAATCATCAAACTGACCAGATCATTTTTTGTTTTCAGTAACAAACTTACATTTATTGGTGAGCTGTGCTAGCCGCACTTTCTCAGAAGAGAACGTTTCATCCAGATCAAACAGGTCCAACATGGGTGGAGGTAGATCACTTAAGGCAGGTGGAAAGACCTTAAATGAGGCAAGATCCACTTGTGAGTTTAGACTGGTGGGGCTTTGACTTGCAGATGACTAGAATGTGAGTAATAAGTGTGTAAAACACTGGAACACAAACGCAGGATTGAAACTTACAGCAGGTTGAAGCTGAGGCAGTGGAGTCTCAAACTGTGGTGTGATCAGCTGAAGTGGCTCGTCTTTGACATTAAGCTGTTTGTAAGCACTGCAGAAAAAAAATATTCTTAGACATAAAGAGAAAAAGAGCTGTAATGATGGAATAATGTTGTCAGGTACATTTTGCAGTCTCACCTGATGACTTGGGGTAAGGTGTCAGTGGACAAATTGAACAAAGACATGTCAAAGAGAGAGGTGAAGTCCCTGGGGTTTTCATCACCCTCTTGTAAACACACTCTGAGCTGCTCTGACAAACACCCTGTGTCTGGCAACATGGTGTAATCTGTTATCTAGGGGAGAAGAGGGTAAGATGGAGATCAGGGGCCTGAACTAAAGTGATCTGTATAAACACTTAGCATTACAGTTTTCCTAAATTGCTGAGTCAATCTTATTGGAACTGAATCAGCATGATCTTCCTCATCACCTTCATTACAGCAAACGTTCTCTTAAACTTTTTCATTGGGTTCACACATTTACACACATTTACATCTGAGTTGCACATTGTATAATTCCTGATTCCTTCTGTATGAATCTAATGCACCTGTGTGAAGCTCCTTATTCAGTTATCACCTCTGTGTTAATCTTCACAAACATGGATTTGCATTGTTTGCATATTTTGGCACAAACTATAATTTATAAAGTTCAGGGGGAAACTTGAGCATAAAACAAAACCAAACATCTCATTACATGCTGATATTTAAATAAAGACAGGAGACATTTAGGGACACAATAAAGTCATAACAGTTATGATATGATATAATACATTGATGCTGGCAAATGATTGATGATCACATAATCTGCCTCATGTTCTCATGGGGCTTTAACGACATCTATCCAATAGAAAAATATGTTCTGTATGTAGGTCTGCTACTATACATACTATATTATAGACCATCTTTTTTTTTTTACTGTAGATCACCTGCAATTGCATGAAAAACATTCATGATCTTCAGAAAACGTTAACGTGACATATGCATCCAGCAGTTTAGTGACAATAACTATCACCTATGAACTAAAGTGGATCAAGCTTCTCATAATCCTTCAATAGCTACTGGGTTTTAAGATTGTGTGGGGTGGGCGGTACTTCTATAGGACAACAGAGTTGACCATGAACAAAAACTGCTCAGAGCAGTTTGAAGTTGCAGCGAACGTTGCCATGGCTGCATACATTTGGTTCAACCTAACCTCCTTCTTTCAGTTAAGCATGAAGGTACTTATGATGTCACAAAGTTTCCCCTGAACTTACAATGATAAGACAGTTACCTTGCTTTGTAATACAGATCACAGCTAATTTGAAAGAAAATAATAATGAGGCCATTCTCCTCTCGAGTGTACATCCTCACCTCTGGGTCTTCTGCATCAATCTGATTCAGCTGTATATTGTCAGTCATGAGCCACTGCAGCACGACATCCTGGAATGYAAATAATAAAACTGACTGAACTGACTTGAAGTCCACAGGAGAGCAAAACAACTCTTAACATCTGATGTGTTCATTAACAAATCTTTGAATGTCAACTGGACTCACCAGGATTTTACTGTTCTCTTCTTTGTCGATGTATTGGTCACTGAACATGTGGCAAGAACCCAACAC